CAGGTATCACAATAGATCAGAAAAAAAAAGTCCCTTATATAAAAACAGAGATTTGGCACTATCAAACAGATATGAGGTCCTATCACAAGATCAATCAGACTCTAGACAGAATGATTTTTTAGGGAAGACGAGGGGAAAGGTTTCTTTTTCCCCCCTGAAAAGAAGGAGGGACAGAGAGGATGCAGAGGAGGAACAAGGTTACAACAGCGAAAAAAAGGAAGAATGTCCAATTGGAGGGAGTAATTAATCTGTCCAATTTTGTTCCGAATAATGATGAAATTAGAACTCTCAATAAAAGGTTTGAAATTTGCCCCCAGTAGAAATTTTAATTATTTTTCATCATACATCGATATATTAAAATATTCCAGAACACTTACTTTAAAATGTTTTTTTTTAAGTTAATAAATACACAGATTTTAAGAAAAGCGATAATCATACTGTTTTAAAAAATAAATCAAATTTTTACCCAAGAAATTACCGAACTAGTGCTATAGATATGTTATCGGTTATTGAGGATTTTGATAAATTAGGGAAATATAAGCAAAAATGTGATTTGAATTTAAGTTATAATGAATATAAGGCTCTACAAAGTCTGAGAAATAATAAAGAAATAATAATAAAGCCTGCTGATAAGGGGGGCAGTATTGTGATTCAAGATACCTCTAGCTATTTAAAAGAATGTTACAGACAATTGGAAGATAAAAAGATATATAGGATATTGGAAAAAGACCCAATTATAGAGATTAAAACCTCACTAGAAGCCCTTTTGAAAAAGGGTAAAGAAGAAGGCATTTTAAATGAAAATGAGTATAGGTTTTTATTAGTTGAATTTCCCAGAGTGCCTGTATTTTATACTTTGCCTAAGGTACATAAAAATTTAGAGAATCCTCCGGGTAGGCCGCAGGGCCGGACTGGCCCACCGGGATACCGGGAAATTTCCCGGTGGGCCGCGGCACCTGGGGCCGGTCTGACAGCCCTGATCATTGGGCTGACAGCTCCTGTGATCCTGGCTGGCCATGTGTGAGCTGTGTGGCCGCAGGGGGAGCCAGGCGGCCGGCACAGCTCACACATGGCCGGCCGGGATCATAAAAAAAAAATTTGCGGTGGGGGCGGAGCTTATGTGCTGTAGGGGCGGAGCTTAGCAGGCAGGGGCGGGGCTTGGCGGAGGCGGAGCTTACTGTGTGAGTGTGTGACTGTCTGTGTGACTGTCTGTGTGTGACTGCCTGTGAGTGTGTGACTGCCTATGTGAGTGTGTGACTGTCTGTGTGAGTGTGTGACTGCCTGTGTGTGACTGCCTGTGTGTGACTGTCTGTGAGTGTGTGACTGTCTGTGTGTGACTGTCTGTGTGTGACTGTCTGTGTGTGACTGTCTGTGTGTGACTGTCTGTGTGTGACTGTCTGTGTGAGTGTGTGACTGTCTGTGACTGTCTCTGTGTGAGTGTGTGATTGCCTATGTGAGTGTGTGACTGTCTGTGTGTGACTGTCTGTGTGAGTGTGTGACTGCCTGTGTGAGTGTGTGACTGCCTGTGTGAGTGTGTGACTGTGTGACTGTCTGTGTGTGACCCTGTGTGTGACTGCCTGTGTGAGTGTGTGACTGTCTGTGTGGTGACTGCCTGTGTGAGTGTGTGACTGTCTCTGTGTGACTGCCTGTGAGTGTGTGACTGTCTGTGTAGTGTGTGTGACTGTCTGTGTGAGTGTGTGACTGTCTGTGTGTGACTGCCTGTGTGTGTGACTGCCTGTGTGTGTGTGACTGCCTGTGTGAGTGTGTGACTGCCTGTGTGAGTGTGACTGCCTGTGTGAGTGTGTGACTGCCTGTGTGAGTGTGTGACTGCCTGTGTGGGTGTGTGACTGCCTGTGTGGGTGTGACTGCCTGTGTGTGACTGCCTGTGTGTGACTGCCTGTGTGTGACTGCCTGTGTGTGTGACTGCCTGTGTGAGTGTGTGACTGTCTGTGTGTGCTGTGTGGAGTGTGTGACTATCTGTGTGTGACTGTCTCTGTGAGTGTGTGACTGTCTCTGTGTGAGTGTCTGTGTGTGACTGCCTGTGAGTGTGTGACTGTCTGTGTGACTGTCTGTGTGAGTGTGGTGTGAGTGTGTGACTGTCTGTGTGTGACTGCCTGTGAGTGTCTGACTGTGCTGTGAGTGTGTGACTGTCCTGTGACTATCTGTGTGTGACTGTCTCTGTGTGAGTGTGTGACTGCCTGTGAATGTGTGACGTCTGTGTGTGACTGTCTGTGTGAGTGTGTGACTGTCTGTGTGTGTGACTGCCTGTGTGAGTGCGTGACTGTCTCTGTGTGAGTGCGTGACTGTCTCTGTGTGAGTGCGTGACTGTGTGTGACTGTCTGTGTGTGACTGTCTGTGTGTGAGTGTGTGACTGTCTGTGTGTGAGTGTGTGACTGTCTGTGTGTGACTGTCTGTGTGTGACTGTCTGTGTGTGACTGTCTGTGTGTGACTGTCTGTGTGTGACTGTCTGTGTGTGACTGTCTGTGTGTGACTGCGACTATGTGTGAGTGTGTGACTGTGTGTGACTGCCTGTGTGAGTGTCTGACTGAGTGTGTGCCTGTGAGTGTGTGACTGTCTGCCTGTGTGTGTGTGTGTGTGAGACTGTCTGCCTGTCTTTGAATGTGTGGGTGTTTGCCTCGGTGTCAGTGACTGTCTGCCTGTGTGTGGCTGTCTGCCTCTGTGTTTGTGCGCGCATCTACTAGTGAGGGAGCCTCTGTGTGTGTGTGTGTGTGCCTGCTAGTGAGTTTGTGTGTGTCTGCTAGTGAGTGAGCTTGTATGTGTGTCAGTGAGCTTGTCTGTAGGGATCATATATGTGTGTGTGTGTTAGTGAGCTTGTCTGTAAGGAGCAGGGGTGTGTCGGAGCCTGTCTGTGGTGAGCATGTGTGTACAGTGAGCTTGTCTGTAGTAAGCATGAGTGTGATCGTGAGCTTGTCTGTAGTGACCATATGTGTGTCAGTGAGCTTGTCTGTAGTGAGCATGTGTGTGTCAGTGAGTTTGTCTGTAGTGAATCTGTGTGTTAGTGAGCTCTTCTGTAGGGAGCGTGTGTGTCAATGGGCTTGGCTGTAGGGAGAGTGTGTGCGCATCAGTGAGCTTGTCTGTAGTGAGCGTGTGTGTGAGACAGTGAGCTTGTCTATAGTAAGCTTGTGTGTGTGTATCAGAGTTTGTCTGTACTAAATTTGTGTGTGCGCCAGTAACCTTGTCTGTGTGTGTCATTGTTTGTCAATGAGCCTATTTGTCTGCATCAGTAAGATTGTCTGTCTGTGTGTGAGTATGCTTTACTGTATAATTTAATTACCCTAAAAGAACTAATATTTTGAATTAGAAGAAGAAATGTATCAATAAAAAAAAAAATATATATTTATTTTGTTGCATCACGAGGGCTCCAGTATATATATAGGCAATTGAAATAGTTGGCTGCACTCTTGGATTTCCTTAAAATTTTACTGTTATTGAAATATTTAAGAGAAGATCAACGTTTCAGTCCCTCTTGTGGACTTGCATCAGGATCATGACGAAAGTTCACAAGAGGGACTGAAACATTGATCTTCTCTTAAATATTTCAATAAAAGTTACATTTTCAGGAAATCCAAGAGTGCAGCCAACTATTTCAATTGCATATATATATATATAACACCCTACATAGCACAATGACTGGCTAAGGGGCTGGCATAGATTTTTTTCCAGGGCTGCTTCGTATCCCCAGTCCGGCCCTGGTAGGCCGATTGTGTCCGGCATTGGATCTATTTCAGCTAATCTTTCCAAATACGTGGATATTTGGCTACAAGACTTAGTCAAAAATATGCCATCATATCTTAAGGACACTACAGATGTAATAAAAATTATAAAAAACATAAAATGGGAGGACGGTTACTTTTTGGTAACCTCGGATGTAACGGCACTCTACACTTCCATCTGCCATGATAAGGGGTGTAAAGTAATTCAGGAAATTTTGGAAAAATCAGGCAATTTTACTAAGGAACATATTCTGTTTTTAACTGACAGCATCAGATGGATTTTAGAAAATAACTATTTTAATTTTAACTCAAGATTTTATTTACAATTACAAGGTACTGCTATGAGGACCAGGTTCGCTCCCAGTTACGCCAATTTATTTATGTCAGGCTGGGAAACAGAAGCCATTTACACCAGCCAGAACTGGGGGATGAACCTGGTCTCCTATCATAGATATATAGACGATATATTCTTTATATGGAGAGGCACACAATTGGATTTAGAGCTTTTTTTTTTTTTTTTTTTTGAAAATATCAATCTAAATGAGTGGGGTTTAAATTTTAGCAGTTCTTTTAGTAACCATAATATTAATTTTCTAGATTTAGAAATTTATGAAGATGCGGGTATTTTAAAAACAAAAGATTTTTTTTAAAAAGTAGATGCGAACAGTTATGTTTTATATAACAGCGGGCACTACACCCCATGGCTGAATAATATTCCAAAAGGTCAACTACAAAGGATAAGAAGGAACTGCACTGAACAACATGTTTTTGAGGAACAAGCAAAGATAGTGATAGATAAATTCTCTCAAAAACAATACCCCACCAATATTTTAGACAAAGCCTATGATGAAATTAAAGAATATCATCAAAATGAATTAGTTTTTAAACAAGGTAATTATAGTGACAAACAAAATAGATTTGATAAGGTACCTTTAGTTTTAAATTTTAATCAAGATTCAAATAAAGTTAAGTCCATTATTAAGAAACAGTGGCACCTTTTGAAAAAAGATAGAGAATTATCAACAATTATTCCAGATAAACCTTTTATCACTTTTAGGGGTGCGCCTAGTTTAAAACAAATTTTAACTTTTAACCACCCAAGAAAGGAGGCGCCCGAAACATTTTTAAATACAAATAGAAAAGGTTTTTATTCATGTGGAAAATGTGTAGGATGTAAGTGTAGTAAGAATAACACCTTAAAAGGGATAAGTAAATTTAAGACGAAATACGCAAAGGAAGAATATAGTATTAAAGATTTTATTACCTGTTTTACTAAAAATATTATATATCTTTTAATATGTCCATGTGGGTTGCAATATGTGGGGAGGACTATCCGTCCCCTACATAAAAGGATCTATGAACATGTTAATATCCGCAAAGGCTTAGATCATCATAGTGTATCTGCCCACTTTAAGAGATACCACAATAGTGACCCTAGTGGCCTCACATTTTTAGGTATTCAATTAGTTAAGAAACCATGGCGAGGAGGTAATTTTATTCAACACTTAGGGAAAGAAGAGATGAAATGGGTTCACACATTAAATACCCTTGAACCTAAGGGTCTTAACATTGAATTCGATTTGTATAATTTTTTCTAATTTTTAATTTTTTGTTAATTAATTTTTATCTTGCATGCTGTCTTTCAGAACTTTTAGGTATTTTTTAAGATGACTATTAACTTACCTTCTTCTTTTTCCTCTTTTATAGAAGGTTTTTTGGATATTTGCTAATTTTATATATGTATATATATATATATATATATATATATATATATATATATATATATAGACTCCAAAGTGGCAACGGCTGCTCTCCGGTTTTAGAAAAAGTTTTATTAAATCATAAAAACAATGACCGACGTTTCAGTCCCAGCTCGGGACTTTCCTCAGGGTCCAACAAAACAGAATAACAAATACCATAAATACAAATCCTAAATATATACCTATACAATTAAAATTGAAACTCACCCAGGTGTGCTACTGCCATCACCACCGGGATCGCCGAACTTCCAGGTATGCGCGCGCACCCGCACGCTCACTCCTCCCACACCACGTGCTGACGTAATACGTCCAATCACCATGGAGACATGTATACAAAATCCTCAACACCGTGGCAACTAAATGCTGATTAAAAAGATCATGATAGTAAATAGTATTTGAGTGAACAATGTTATGAACATGTGAATAAAAGAACATTATTAGGAAAGGGTGTATAAACACCCAAGTTGCCAATGTATAGTAATGGTATTAACAATATATAAACTTGAAAGTGCATAGTTTGTATTAAATAACCTATTAAAGTGACATAAGTGTAAAGTGCATTATAATATACTATCATATAATAAAGTGCTATACAACCTCAAGTGCATGGTATGCCCAATACATCAATGTTATTTAAAAAGACTAATAGCATATGACACATACTAAAATAAGGGGAACATATAAAATTAATACATCCTATGTTCTAATACTAAACACCAACTATATATTATACTTATAATATTAAAAACAATTGGTAACAAGCTATCAAATAAAGGCATTGTACGGAATATTTTCGTTAAGTCCCATGGGAGATACTGTATTTAATTGATATATCCAGAAAGCTTCTCTTTGAAGGAGCATTTTACTCCTATTGCCACCTCTACGAGGAAGAGGGATGTGGTCTATACCCACAAATTTAAGGCATGTCAATGAATGTTTTTTATCCAAAAAATGTTGAGCCACCGGTTTGTCCGAATGTCCGTCCCTATACGCCAATCTAATACTCGAACGGTGGCCTCTAATGCGCTCACAGAGTTGTGTCTCCGTCTTTCCCACATAATACAATCCACACGGGCACATCAATTTATATACCACAAACATTGTTTTGCAAGTGATAGTGTGTCTGATGTCGTAGACTTTGTTAGTGTGTGGGTGGCTGAATTTCTTTGCCGGTATCATATGTCCACAAGTTACACACCCCAGACACCGAATACACCCTCGTATGTTTTGTTTCGTATCCTTCGAATAGCTTGCAACTGGATCTGTATGCACCAGCAAATCTTTCAGGCTCTTATTCCTTTTATAACATATCAACGGCGGTTCTTTAAAAACTTTTGGCAACGTGTCATCCGTTGCAAGCATCTTCCAATTGTCTTTAATCACTGTTGATACCAAATTCGAGCAATTGTGGAAAGTCATAGGAAACATTATCCTCTGTGTAAGGTCTTTCCTAGGTTGTACTGAAGCTGCCTTAGCCTTTATCAGTGCATCTTCCAATATTCTAGTTAATATACCAGTGGTATTTACAGGTGGCAGGCACATCGATGGGGTCTTCTATGGCCCCCATGTATGCCAACGCGTTCATGTATATGTATGAGACTCAACATATTCTTATACCTTATCGGGACAACATCATTAGCTACTATCGCTACATAGATGATCTGCTAATACTCTGGCGCGGAACGTCAATTGAAGCACACGAGATGGTGAAAGAATTAAATAGGCTACCAACGCCCATCAAATTTACGGCTAATATCAGTGATGAGAAGGTCCAATTTTTAGATCTGGAGTTGTCTTACGGATTCAACAAAATACAATATACATTATATACGAAACCCACAGACCGCAACACTTTATTGCACGCACATAGTGCTCATCCTACTATGTTGAAAAATTCTATTCCAAAGGCACAGTTCCAAAGAGTTATCCGGAATAATTCAAACCAAGATAAAGCAGAGACACAGTTGACAACCATGACACATAAGTTTGCTGAACGGGGATATGGAACTAGAATATTGGAAGATGCACTGATAAAGGCTAAGGCAGCTTCAGTACAACCTAGGAAAGACCTTACACAGAGGATAATGTTTCCTATGACTTTCCACAATTGCTCGAATTTGGTATCAACAGTGATTAAAGACAATTGGAAGATGCTTGCAACGGATGACACGTTGCCAAAAGTTTTTAAAGAACCGCCGTTGATATGTTATAAAAGGAATAAGAGCCTGAAAGATTTGCTGGTGCATACAGATCCAGTTGCAAGCTATTCGAAGGATACGAAACAAAACATACGAGGGTGTATTCGGTGTCTGGGGTGTGTAACTTGTGGACATATGATACCGGCAAAGAAATTCAGCCACCCACACACTAACAAAGTCTACGACATCAGACACACTATCACTTGCAAAACAATGTTTGTGGTATATAAATTGATGTGCCCGTGTGGATTGTATTATGTGGGAAAGACGGAGACACAACTCTGTGAGCGCATTAGAGGCCACCGTTCGAGTATTAGATTGGCGTATAGGGACGGACATTCGGACAAACCGGTGGCTCAACATTTTTTGGATAAAAAACATTCATTGACATGCCTTAAATTTGTGGGTATAGACCACATCCCTCTTCCTCGTAGAGGTGGCAATAGGAGTAAAATGCTCCTTCAAAGAGAAGCTTTCTGGATATATCAATTAAATACAGTATCTCCCATGGGACTTAACGAAAATATTCCGTACAATGCCTTTATTTGATAGCTTGTTACCAATTGTTTTTAATATTATAAGTATAATATATAGTTGGTGTTTAGTATTAGAACATAGGATGTATTAATTTTATATGTTCCCCTTATTTTAGTATGTGTCATATGCTATTAGTCTTTTTAAATAACATTGATGTATTGGGCATACCATGCACTTGAGGTTGTATAGCACTTTATTATATGATAGTATATTATAATGCACTTTACACTTATGTCACTTTAATAGGTTATTTAATACAAACTATGCACTTTCAAGTTTATATATTGTTAATACCATTACTATACATTGGCAACTTGGGTGTTTATACACCCTTTCCTAATAATGTTCTTTTATTCACATGTTCATAACATTGTTCACTCAAATACTATTTACTATCATGATCTTTTTAATCAGCATTTAGTTGCCACGGTGTTGAGGATTTTGTATACATGTCTCCATGGTGATTGGACGTATTACGTCAGCACGTGGTGTGGGAGGAGTGAGCGTGCGGGTGCGCGCGCATACCTGGAAGTTCGGCGATCCCGGTGGTGATGGCAGTAGCACACCTGGGTGAGTTTCAATTTTAATTGTATAGGTATATATTTAGGATTTGTATTTATGGTATTTGTTATTCTGTTTTGTTGGACCCTGAGGAAAGTCCCGAGCTGGGACTGAAACGTCGGTCATTGTTTTTATGATTTAATAAAACTTTTTCTAAAACCGGAGAGCAGCCGTTGCCACTTTGGAGTCTGTGTTACGTGGAGCCCTGGTGTTTGCGCCCGGTGATGGGATTTTGGACGTGAGTGCAGGGGATTTTTGTATTTTTTGTAT